AATCTACAATGTAGACGAATAACAATTCATAGAATTTACAATGAGAAGAATTACAATTGTGAGAATTTACAATGTAGAGTATTACAATTCAGAGAATTTACAACGTATAGAATTACAATTCAGAGAATTTACAACGTATAGAATTGGAGTGCAGAAAATTAGTGTAGAAAATTACAATACAGAAAATGTATAAATGCAGCTGATTTAGGATGTAGAGGAATGCACAATGCAGAAATGCAGAAATTTAGCTAGAAAAGGAACCATTCAAATCACTTCTGATTGTTTTACACTGTTTATGCGAGAAACCAGTTCCACGATTCAGTGACTCGAATCGTAGTAAATATTGCAACAAACTTTTTCACGAAAACGCAGTTTTATCAGATAAAAAATAAATTTGCGATGTAAAGACGTGCACAAGAAACCATTTATGCGACACCCGTTAACGTTCGTATTAAGCTATTACACGGCGGGATTAATATAATTAGCGGGACGTCTGCGTTTGATCTCGGCCGGACGAATGACGAATTCGCGAGCATTTCGAGCAGATTAATGGAAACACGGTCGGCGGATCGCCCGAAAGGAGAACGACGGATCGCGAACGACGGTGGATTACGTTTCGCGGGCGTTGCACAAGAATTCATATAATTGCCGCTAAACGCCGAGATCATTATTATCCGTGCAATCGCTAATCACCGTAATTTACGGCCGTCGGCCGGCGTGTCGCGAGAGAAAATTCTCGTGCCGGTGTGACCCCGCCATACTTTCGCGGTTCTCGATTAACGCGGCCCGATCCCGCTGCCTTTTCCATTTCTAAATCATCCTTAACGATCGATCCTTTTCGGCCGCTTATTTCGCAACCGCGAATCTACGATGTCAGTCACGATTTAATGCCGCGGATTTCTTTTTCTCCTCGTGAAATAGATATCGACGACACCGACCAATCGTACGGGGCATGTCTCGTACTTCAATTTATCGTGATTATTTGATCTTTTTTCGAACGCGATTTCCATTTTAAAAAATCGTCAACAATTTTTCACTCGAGCTTATTGATCTTGAAGAAACAGCGATATTATTCTGACGTCGGGTATACTCGTCACGGATAAATAGCAGTCTTGTATAATGATGAGTATATTCGTCAAGAAGAAACGTCAATTTTTCTCCCAAGCATACTAATCTCGAAGAAATAGTAATATTTTTCTAATGACGAGTATACTCGTTACGGAGAAATCGCAATATTTTTCTAACAACGAATATACGCGTCACGGATAAATAGCAGTCTTGTATAATGACGAGTATACTCGTTAAGAAGAAATGTCAATTTTTCTCCCAAGCATACTAATTTCGAAGAAGTAGTAATATTTTTCGAACGACGAGTATATTCGTCACGGAGAAATACCAGTCTTTTATAATGGCGAGTATACTCGTCAAGAAGAA